TAAAAATACCCTTTACGGGATTTAAAAGAATAATGCCCTTTAAAAAAAAAAATAATTGAGTACTGTCCCCTGATACTTTTTTTTTTTTGCACTAACAAACAATTTTTAAAGGGCAAGCTTTTTCCGGGGATGGTCCCCTTCTTTAAGGGCTAAAGCAGTACTATTTTAAAAAACAAAAAAGTTAAGCAGAATGTTAAATGGATTGAGGAGAAAAAAAAAAAAAAGAAAAAAAAAAAAAAAGGCTACAGATTAAAATACATTCAAAATGAGGGGGGGAAAGGGGGGTACAACACTCACAAAAGAGGGGGTCCAAAATTTTTAAACAATAAAATATCATAAAGTGTCGGATAGTTGGTTTTAGGAAACCCCTTGTCCAAAATTTAAAACCGTTTTTTCTTTTAGTTCAAAAAAGAATTATCATCTTTAGTTATCAAATTTTTTCTTTCCCGGATGGGGTTTAAAATTTTTTCCCTTTTAGAACTAAAATAATTTTAGGTCTTCCATAATTTTTGCCTGGGGTTGGTGAAAAAATGGGTCCACAGGGTGCAAAGGTCATCTTCTTTATTGGGTTCCCCTTGGGTGGGATGGTCTGGGCAAATTCATCCGTGGTTTGCAACCTCCCGTCCTTTTCACCAAACATAAGGGTCCTTTGCTTTCCCTTTTCCCGCACTGGATAAAGGGATAAACATTACTGGGGGTGCAGCCCGTATGATCCCCGGGGATATTGAAGATCCCTTTTTAGTGTCTGGGCACTTTTTAAAATGGATTGATTTGGGGGCAAAAGCTTAGCAAGGGGTTTCCTTTTTTGCAGGGGTTTGCTTCCATTAAATTTTTGGCATCATAATCAGGAAAAAAATTTCCTACTGATTTTTTATTTTTCTGAGGTTTTGGGGGGGGGGTCTGAAAAAACCCTTTTTGGGGGTTTCGGAAAATTTTTTTCAGAGTTCCATCCTCGTTATGATGGTTTTTAAATCTTTTTATTAAATTTTTTTTAAACCCTTTCCCAGTGGGGCCGGGGGGGTAAATTTTTGTTAAATAAGGGGACCGGGTTTTTTGTTTTTTTCCCCTTTTTAAATTTAAGCAATTTTCCCCTTCCGGGGTTTTCAAGGCGTGTTTATTTCTGGTGGGTTTATAAATTTTTTTCCTTGTAACCTTTTTTATGGAAGGGGCCCGCTAGGTCCCAAGATGTTTTTTCTCTGTCCTTGGCAGAACATACCGTGGGAAACTGATGGCCTGACCTGGTATGATGGCACCCTTTTGGGTGTTGGGGGGGGAAAGCTAGAAAGTGGAAAATAGTTTTTCCCCCGTCAGTGGGTTTTTCCCTTTTAAATTTTGGGGGGTGAAGCTATCAACCCCCGAAGTATACTGTGGAAAGGTTACAAGGACAAAACTATCAACACCAGCATAAACACAGCCTTGAGAACCCGAAGGGAAAATCTGCTTCAGTACAAAGAGAAAAAAACAAACAACCGTGTACCTCTAGTAACTACATACAACCCGGCACTAGAAGGGATAAGAAAAAATAATCAAAGATTTACAACCCATCATAACAGAGGATGGAACTCTGAAAGAAATATTCCAGCAACCCCCAATACTGGCTTTCAGACAACCCCCCAACCTCAGAAATAAACTAATCAGTAGGAAACTTCCTTCTGATTATGATGCCACAAATAATGGAAGCGAACCCTGCAATAAGAAACGCTGCAAGCTGTGCAACCAAATCAATCCATCAAAAAGTGTCAGACACTCAAAAGGGATCTTCAATATCTCCGGATCATACAGCTGCACCTCCAGTAATGTTGTGTGTACCTTATCCAGTGCAGAAAATGCAGCAAAGGATCTTATGTTGGTGAAACAGGACAGAGGTTGCAAACACGGATGAATTTGCACAGACATACCATCAAGGAACATAAAGAAGATGACCTCTGCACACCTGTAGGACACCATTTCTCACAACCAGGCCACAATATAGAAGACCTCAATATTTTAGTTCTGAAAGGAAAATTTAAATCCATCCAGGAAAGAAAAACATTTGAACTAAGAATGATAATTCTATTTGACACTAAAGATAACGGTCTTAATTTGGACATGGGATTCCTCAACCACTATCCGACAGCTTTATGACTATCTATTAGCTAAAACTTGACCCCCTCTGTGTGAGTGTTGTATCCCCCCTCCCCCCCTCACTTTTGATGTATCTTATCTGTAGCCCTTTTTTTTTTTTTTTTTCTTTTTTTTTTTCTCTCTCAATCCATTCTAACATTCTGCTTAAACTTTGTGATTTTTAATAGTAACTGCTTAGACCTTGAAGAAGGGGACATACCCCGAAAGCTTGTCCTCAAAATTGTATGTTAGTGCAAATAAAAAAAGTATCACGGACAGTACTCAATTGTTTCTGTCGCAAATGCACTAATACGGCTACAATCACCTCAAATAAAATAAAATAAAAATGTTGAGAAACCCCTTACAATAGTTATTTTATAAATCACTAATAAAACAATTAATATTGACATCAATGTTTAAACCACTGAGGCATTAAAGTGCCAGCTTCATAAATCCACCACATTTCTTTTTCACTGTCTCTTCCAATTACCACCCCTCCAATGCTTTCTTATTTTTCCAAAATTGTACTAAGGAGGGAATTTTAGAATTAGCAAAATGTTTGCAAACTGAAGGGCCTTTATACCATTTTGTATATTGCATAAATATTCTCTAATGCATATGCCCAATGGGTGAGAAGTGCTGCCAATATACTGAAGACCAAAAGGACATTGCAGTAAATACTATTCCTTCAGTTTTACAAGTAATCAAATCAAATTTCTAATCTGATATTTTTTCTTAGTGGTATGCACTACAAAATCTTTTTTCCTTCGTATGTTGTTTTGTAGTTGTAATGTATGCCTGACATTTGCTGCACCATAAAAACCTATCACAGCAAAAAATGTCACAGCCTTATTGCTATTTATTGGAGGGTCTATTACACTTCTGGTTTTTTTGGTATATAAAGGGTGGCATGTACAGTATTATTGACTGCAAATGCTGATCCTGCTTTAATATGGCCCAGTGCCGTGTTGTGTGGTGGCAGTCACAGAGCCCGGTTGCAGGTAAACTGAGAACTTGTATTACAAAGAATGCTAACTACAAACAACCCCGGTGTGAGAGCACCACTTAGGGTAATACTCACAGTTCAGTTCAATGCAGAGATACAACGGGTAAGGATGTATCAACAGCATCTGTCTTCAGAGGGCGGAATGATGCCTGGCCAGTCCCGTCCCAAAAGGGAGGTCTCCATGAAGTGTTGTGAGTCCCTGGTCTGTCCCTACTTGTCTGGAACCTTTCCCTGCCGCTATCACTTTCCCTGACAAATGGCTGCTTTTTCTCTACTCTTGCCACTTCACAAATGCACACTAGAATCTGCGGACAGAGATTTTGCTGACACAAGATGGCCACTACGGGTCACCTGGATACGGCATAGCCAGCCGCAACGCTGCCGTCAAGGACCCGGATGCCAAAGAGAAACCAGGTTTCCCCTGATCTCTTCTCTAGGCAGTGGTACCACTAGGGTCGAGCTCAACCTACAGTTGATGAAACAGACCACACCTGCCTACACAATATCTGTTTCCTCTGAATGTTAGAATCTAGCAAAATCACCATCAAATTTAGTGTCACTTGTTTTGGTCTGTAAAATCTCTTCTCTGTTTTTCGTTTTTGCAGTGTCAATCTCACATTGCAAAAAGTCCTCCTTATAAACCTTTTAAAAAAATCTCTGTTTCAATAATTGTGACTGAAACAGAAATCTTCCTCCCTTTCCTCATTCGAATGAACTGACCCCTAGGGGAGTTGAGTAAGCAAGAGGGGTGATGGCAACTAGTTAGCGAAATATACCCTTTTCTATCAGTCTCTTTAAAGTGTGTTTTAGTGTAGATGGTATCCCCACTTGCTTGCAAATTGAGGTCCAAGAAGGTAGCATTTGTAGGCTCATAATTATATTTTAATACAATATTTTTGTCATTATCATTAAGATTGTGTAAGAATTCCAACAGTGAATTGTCACTACCCTTCCAAATAAACATGATATCTATAAAATGCCAGTAAAATAGCAAGCTGAGAAGGTCCTCTAGCCAATCTGCTCCTCACAGGCCTATCTCTAGCCCTTTCATCCTCAGTGACTTTCACAGTTACTCTTTCTTGGTGTAGGCACGAACAGCAGTGTGTCTGTACTCTATGGCTTCACGCACTGCAAGACAATGTACATCTCCCAAAAAGCCCAGGAAATAATCTTCTCTCCTGTGCAGGGATTTGTGGGTATTGAAGTTTGCAGCCACATTCACCTGCCTTGTGCAGCGTTCTTCCAGGTCTATACAGCCTATGGTCTCCTGCGCTGCTGTCTCATCCAGCATCCTAACCCTCACAGGTCGTACCGCTGCAGACAACCCTCAACAGGGGGGATCGGCCAGGGAAAGTACACACAACCACTCTGTAGCACAGAGACGGAATGGAGAAGGGATATTGGGCACAGGCATACACAGCCGCTCCTGCAGCTCTACTGCAGACCGTGTGCAGGGAGTGGGAGAGTAGTGGTGCAATGAATCATTGGAACCAGGAAGCCACAGAGAGAAGAATCTTATCAGTATTGAGTGACAGAGGTACGGATAAGGGTAATGTAAGTGCGGCATTTGAAATACTTGAAATCGGAAGTAATGGCTTTGAAGGGACTAAAAATAGTGAAAGGAACTGATTTTTTTTTTTGTTATTCTGCACAGAGCTTTTTATTAATATGGGTCTCCTTTACAGGAACATAGGAAGTTGTTTAAAGGTGAACTAAACCTTTAAACTTTCAAAAGCTGTGGTGATATCCAATATTTTTTTTGAAGATTTTCAGCCACAGCAACAAGGGCAAATAATAAAGCCTGAATGCTGAAATGGTTTCTTGCTTCTTTACCACTGATCATTTTTCCAGCATTTTGCTATGACAAGAGTTGCACTATGTTTTATTGATTATGTTTTGTTTCTGTTTTCTAGAGGAAATAAAAGACCCAAGCAAGAATATTCCTCGCAGTGTAGTAGCAGCCGTATGTGCCGTGATTGCCTTTTACTTACTGGTGAACATTTCATACCTCACTGTCCTGACACCTAATGAGCTTATATCCTCAGGTACATCAATTTCTATTTAATAATAAAGAAAAAATACTGTTAGAGAGTTAATCACTTTTTCAGGAGTGATTTTTGTTTTAGAGTCTTATGCTTCTTTGATGTTAATGTATATTTAATGTCAAACTCTTTCTAAAACATATAGTTTAAAGCTAAACGACAGGTATGGATTTTATTGCATAGTTACATTGATACAACAATGTAAGTATGCACATTCCATGCCTGTGGCATAGGACCTCTGTGGAAGCAGAGAATCATTATCACAGTCGCTGCTACTACAGTGATCACCATTGTCTTCTGAGTCCTGTGCTAAGTGGTTACCCTGCTGCATAGTAAGGAGAGGGAGTCGCTCACTCGAGATGGGCAACGCTATCAGAATGTTTTGCATTTTTCTCAATGGATGCAAGGAGTTCTCTGATTGTGGACGAGGTGGAAAAGCAGGGTGGTGATGTCATAAACTCCACCTCATCAAGTCAGAGTTTAAGCGGAGTGCAGCGCTCAATACACGAAGAGGGGAGAACTCACACAGAGGCCAGCTGACACAGAAAAGTATATTAATGTGAGGATACTGAGAAAGAGGTACAGAATCTGCATACATGGCCACACCAGCCCAACATTACTTACAGGGAATTTTAGAGAGGATATTCGTGCACACTGTTGATCCCGACAGCATCTGAAAGAGGTGATGGCTGGAAGGCAGAGCGGCAACAAGGTACTTGAATGAGGAAGGGCTACTGCCTGAGACACAAGCAACAGTCCCTACTCTGTCCCTCCTACACTGGAACCTCTCCTTACACTAGACAATCTGTCCCTAATCAGCGGGGTCACTGTCCCTGTCCTGACCTCTTGCAAATGCACACCAGCTAAAGGGGGACAGTGCTATTTATCCAACGATGGCTGCGGAGGTCAGAGAGGGTAGCAGAATCAAGTCCAACAGCTGCTCTCCTGATGAAACCTACAAAGGCCACAGAGGAACATGGGTTCCCCTTGTCATCCACTTTCCTTGCACGGCCACCAAAGAGTGCCACCTATGCAGGAAAGCCAGACTACACCTCCCTACAAGAGAATGCTTTGCATTCATTGAGAAAAATGTAAGGTGTTCTGTGAATGCCCATGTCGAGAAAGTCACCCCCAATGAGCAAAAATGTGTGGACTGTGTGTCTGTCAACACTACAAAGAAATCAAAGCTGTTTTACTCTCTCCCAGAGCAGTTCTTTCTTGCTCCAAAGTGAGAAGGGACAGAGAAGGAACTGCCTTGGGAGAGAGTAAACTGGCTCTAAAGCCCATGTAGGGCTGACAGAATCACAGCTCGCTTGATGTGCAGCTTCCTGGGTGTTAAATCTCATTGTGAGACTTTTTAAGTTACATTTCCTTTTTTTACATGAGTACATTTTACTCTGTTAAATAACTACCAATTACATGGCGAGCACTGTTTATTCCTTTTGTGTTTCCTTGAGTTTGCCTAAGTGGTTTTATACTGAAAGCTTCAACATTTTAACCACCACTGGAGGAGTGATATTCTTTATTCTGGTTCCAAAAGAGATATGTCTGCAAGACCTTGTTGCTAAAAGGTCATTTCCAGGGCTTTTTTTTTGCTAGAATTTGGTGGAACTCAGTTCCACCACCTCTGTCTCAGGCACTCTGCTCCCTGTTTACCACTATCGCTTGTAAACACAGGAGTCCCGCTTCTGTGTTTACAAGTGACAGTTTGTCTCAAATGGCTCCCACTGATTTGATCTCCTGAGCATCTTCCACTGAATGTAGGATGGAGACAAGGGAGATGCAGGTGCCCAGGATACAGTGCTGATGCTGGCATCTCCACTGGATGACCTCCCTGCAAGTGCAAGAGACAGAACCACCTACAGCGTGTGGAGAGGAACTAGAGCCACTAGTAAAAAAAAGGGGGCAAGAGGCTCATAGATTGAACATATCGCTGAACATACATTATCTGCCCAGTAACCAAAAACCAAACATCAAAAAAGGGGGATGTAAAAAGAGATTCACAAAAAAGTGGATACATTATGAACAGAAAGCGATACTCAAAATTACTCAAACAATTATGCTTTATTACAAAATTGCATTTATAGACATATCAGGTAAATACCTCAGTTAGCCATCACTACAAGATGAGACAATACAACAAAGTATGACCAAAAACCAATTATTAAAAATAGACATCATGACCGGTCATGTGTAGAAAAGGTGCTGTAAATATAATGACACATGGTCTAGCACATATGCAACACTGACACATAGGTTACACCACCATGTAGGGGGTGTTTAAAAAAATTGTGCCATATGGCTAAGCATATACATTAGATGCAGTACCAAATTCAATAATATAGGTACCAGTAAACGATGGATTCGGTAACCCAATGTATAACCTAAACAACAGTTGAGGAAAATACCAGAGAGAGATAATTGCAATCTTCCTACAATTCTACTGTGTAATACACATAGTAAAGTAGTAATAAGAGTAGGTATTGTGAGGCAAAATTGGTGATAAGATCTCAAGCAGCGACAATCATGTCCATAATGATGAAATTAAATGAACTTAATGACCGTGGTAATATCTCCATATAGCTTCCGCCATGTGTAGTAGAAGTGGCAGGGCCCTGCCAATATATAAAGGGGTTCTTTGCCGCCACCATGCGGGCTATGTACCTCCCTTATGGTAGTACTATGATGCAGAGTATAGGAGCATCCATGCCTGGTAGTAAAAGTAGGGTGCTGTGCACCATTCAAAACATGTAACATGATGTCCCCATCCTGTAATGAATAAGTGACATAAGGAAAGTCAATGTATTGTCACTTTTAGTAGCAAGGCAATGGCGGCAATGTGCCATTTATCCTTCTGAATGTATGCTATATAACACTCACCACCCGTGCCAAAAGTGATAACCTTACAAAGTCTCTCTCACAAGGATAACCGCCCGTGGTCCCGGAGGCAGCCGCCACCATCGGGACTAGAGGCAGGTGGGCTCCGCTTCCATCCTGGTACTCGTGCAGCCAAATGAACGCCCAATGCCGGTGTGTATTACCACATCCCCTGCAGGACTACGTGTATGGCGCCAATGCGTCTGACCAAAAGTGACGTAACTGACGTGTGATGTCAACGTGTTTCACCTATGGGCGTATCTTACTCAGCTTCATCAGGACCAATGACATGCCTACCTCACATGCTCGATTTACATTAGGCTAGTAACTGCCTAATAGGGAAAAGAACTAAGAAATAAAACAAACAGAAAACTGGTCATTATAAATGAACATGTTTGGATACATGTATTTATAATGACCAGTTTTCTGTTTGTTTTATTTTTATCTTTTCACATCCCCCCTTTTTTGAGGAACTAGAGCCAGCTGGGTGCATCAGCTTAATACAGCAACAAAGGTAAGACGTGGAAGGTGGTGGAGCATTTAAGGAGCAGAGGTCAGAGCTGAAGAGGGGTGAAAGGGAGATGTGGATAGGGAATTCAGAGGTAAGCAGCCATGGAAGAAGCTGGAACTCTGCTTCCTGCGAGATTTTGCTGGTCCTTCGGTTACGAGTTCGTGAGAAGGGCAGGGGTCGGGCGCCACGTTCCGTCACACTCTCAACTCTTCACAGGGTCCAAAGCACACTTCTTTACTTGTGCTGTCTTCTATTATGTCTCCTAAGCAAGTTTTAATCTCCTGGAATGTGAGAGGGTTGGAAGATGCCTGGAAAAAGCGAGCTGTGCTGAATGCACTATTGCTTTATGGTCCGACCATGATTTGCTTGCAGGAGAATCATATGAACCGAGAAGCCACTACTTTATTTAACAAATCTATATTTAAATTTTGGTATCACTCAGCCTATTCTACCTATGCGGGGAGCAGCCTCAATAATTCTTTGGCCTCCTACTGCTGCACATGAGTCGAGGCGGATGATCATTGGCAGTTACATCTTTCTATTTTGCACTTTAGAGGACAGGAAATACCGGCTGGCAAATATCTATGTACCCCCATCTTTTTTGAAACAAGGTTCTTTTGAAATTGTCCTGGGTAATGGCTCAATATCTCACCGTCCCGGTGGTTGCAGTTGGGGACTTTAACAGTGTATTGAACTGGTCTATAGATAGTCTAACTGAAACAGGAGGCAGTAGGGTGCATGGTAGCTAAGACCTGATTTATGAAGTGTGGGCATTAGGATTGTATGAGGTTTGCCATGAACAACACCCAAAAAAGGTGCCTACTCATGCTGCTCTAGTATATACCAGTCTCTTTCTCATATAGACTTGGTCCTATGCATGGCTAGTGTACTCCCTTGGGTTGCATCTTCACTTGTGGACCCTGTAGCTTGTTGGACCATTTTCCATTGATACTAACATTGGTGGCATTGAGGGAACCGGGGCTTATGCCTTGGAACATCAAGCCATTCTGGCTGAACTTAATTATGGACCAGGATAAAGTTATGCTGGATCTTACTGACTTTTTGTGTATCATTACGCTCCCCGGCCATTGGCCTGGGACACCCTGAAAGAGTTCTTGCAAGGTATTCTTACCAAAAACATTTCTAGACTATTATATAGGAAATAACTCCAGGCTAGTAGATTGTAAATAAAGTAAGTATATTGTCAAAAAGGCAAAGTAAATGGCAATACACCAGCATTAATGAAAGAATCCATTAAATTTCATTAAAATAACTGACGGAAATACAGGGCTATGATATGGCAGTTAACCTAGACCACAAGAAAAGTAAACCAAGTTAACCTGATACACACAACATTAGACACCCCACTTACGTTAGAAGAGATTGTTGAGGCCACTGCAGACTCAACCAATAATAAAGCCTCAGGTCTGGATGGTCTACCCATTGAAATATACAAAAGAAACTAATGTTATTGAACCATTCTGTCATTGCAGCTGCTGTCTCAATTACCTGGGCTGATAGAATGATCCCATCATGGTCCTGGATTATGCCTGTCTCAGTGGCCTTCTCCATATTCGGTTCTCTCAATGGTTGCATGTTTATGCTCGGGAGGTTAAATTATGCCGGCAGCAAAGAAGGACATTTGCCGTCACTCGTCTCCATGCTCCATGTCCGTTACTTGACTCCAGCTCCAGCGATGATTATCTCCACACTGATAGGATGCATATTTGTCATACCTTCCGACCTCCTCTCATTAACCAATTACTTCAGCTTTTGCTCGAGGCTCCTGATTGGACTAACTTGTACTAGCCTGATTGTTCTTCGCTTCAAGGAGCCCAACCTGGAGCGCCCATACAAGGTGAGACAAAAACCTAAATATAAATAGTGGCAATTCTGATAATATAAAGTAGATTTCTCTTTAATTCTTACCCCTTTTCAATCCCAGATTGGCGGCCCTTTAATTGGGTCTTAAAGGTTGTAAACCTGGAAAGTCAAATATAAACAAAACATTAAATCTAATAAAGAACAAGGGCACACATCATTTGTGCATAGTATGGCAGGTAGAAGAACAGCCTGTTAAAAAACTGACACCATAGAAAGAAAATGATGATGCCATGCCCTTTGATTGACAGCCTGTGTAATGAGAAACATGTCTGAGTCTTTATGAAGGGGGCATGTCTGGTGCTGCTCTGTACCGCACTGTGAGCTGTGACTGGGATCAGAGCCGAGTTTTCTTTCACTTTTCTCTCCTCTCCTCCAGAGAAAAAGGTACAATGTTCTCTGAGTCAGCAGAGCATACAGAAAGACAGACATCAGAGAGAGAATACAGAGAGATCAGAGAGAGACAGAGAGTGAGACAGAAAGAGAAAGTCATCAGAGAGAGAGAATACAGAGAGAGACATCAGAGAGAGACAGAGAGAGAGACATCAGAGATACAGAAATAGATATCAGAGAGAGAGAGAGAGAGAATCAGAGATAGAGAGAGAATACAGAGAGAGACATCAGAGAGAGATCAGAGAGAGAGAATACGGAGAGATACTTTAGAGAGAGAGATCAGAGAGAGAGAATACAGATAGAGACATCAGAGAGCGAGAGAGATCAGAGAGAAAATACAGAGAGAAACATCAGAGAGAGACATCAGAGAGAGAGAGAGAGAGAGAAAGTGAGACCTCAGAGACAGAAAGATACAGAGAGACATCAGAGAGAGAGAGAGACATCAGAGAATACAGAGAGAGACATCAGAAAGAGAGAGAGAGATCAGAGAGAGGGAGAATACAGAGAGAGCCATCAGAGAGGAAGAAAGATCAGAGAGAGAGAGACATCAGAGTGAGAGAGAGAGACAGAAAGAGAGAGAGACACACATCAGAGAGAGAATGATACATCAGAGAGAGAGAGAGAGAGAGAAAAATAAGAGAGAGCAATCATAGAGAGAGGCACATCAGGGAGAGATGCATTAAAGAATACAGAGAGAGAGACATCAGAGAGCATTTTGCAGTAGTTTAGAGCTTACTCATGACAGAGGAGTCAATTATAATTGCAATATCTGATATTAGCAATATTGCAGGTGTTCTAACCCAATCACTCAGCACAGAGGCACATATTTGCATAAATCATAAAACTATCATTTAGTCCTTCATACTCATAAAAAATATTTTATTATTAATTATTGAAATGCGCAGCTAGCATACCGGAAATGTATTATCTCACTGTAAATTCATAGCATTAACATGACAGCCAGGCAGAATGGCATGTTTAGAAGAAGAGGTCAGGATTGGCATGCTGTGTTTTTTCTTTTTTAATGACAGAATCCTTCTAAATGTATTTTACACAGCTAGCATAAGTACCTGAACCTGTATTTATATTAGCTTTCTGCAGTCCCCTGTGCAGTGGGGGCAGTTCAGGCTTCACAACATTGCACAGCATGGGAGGACTGGGAACCTTTGACCTAGGGGACAAGCACAACAAACTAGCCCATTTAATTTGACAGATATCTGTGCAAAGAGTGCTATGGTGTCTCATTAACTGGTGGGGTGTTCCTAAAGGGCATGGTTTGATTGTTCACACTTTTTTGCATCTTAAAGCATCAGCAGAAGCTCTGAGATGTCATGTGACCAAAAGCCCAGTGCTGTAGACAGTGTTTGGCATTTGGTCACATGACATCAGAGAACTGTAAAGGAAGTTGGTGCTGAAATACTTACTCTATGCCAAAGGCTGTGTTTGCAGGTCTTAACAGGTAGTATGTAAATATATACTATATTATAACATTTATAATACCTATAGAATATTCAGTACAATGCCTAACAAGTGCCATTGACTATGGGTCCCACTCCAAACGAAGTCTGACTAGTGAAATATCTCCACTCAGGGTCACCAGCCCAGCACATCTTATTAGCTCTGGTCTGGAAGTAAAAAATCTCCCACAACCTAGTTCTTCCCTGTTTCCCTGTTGCACAGTGCTGCCAAATTAACACTGGGAGCTTGCTAGTGTTGGGAATGCAACAGCATGTATTATAATGTACTATATATAGTATTGTATGTTAATATCACTTGACCAGTAGATGGCACTGTACACTAAGGTTATTAGTTGTGCATATGTGTAAAACTTGTTGGTTCTCTCTTCTTCTCTCTCATCTCAAACCAAGATGTCTGCTGTCAGTTTGCTGAAATGTGTTCTGTATGTTTGCAACTTAAGCCACACAAGTAAAACAGAGTTCTGCCTCATCACTACCAGTGTCTTCTCTAACACATAACCAACAGCTAGTAGGAGCAGCAAGCAGACTGATGATTACATTAACATGTTGATGATCTGTCATTGTAGTGACTTACCTGCATTGCTTAACTACAGTAGAGAATAGTGAAATCACCAGCTTGAAAATGGGACCCAGTTACATAAAAGTGCATTTAATGCATTTACCGTACGTTAAAGTAAATTTTGTGTTGTCATCCTGCATCCCATCCAGGAACCTCCAACCATCATAAAAATGAAAGGAGATCCACAGATGGCCACTGGCCTGTCAAAGTAATATAAAGACTCCTGAAACACAAGACAGGCTAGACATAATTACTGTACATATCTTTTGGCAAGTGTAACAGTTTACATATCTGTTTTTTTAACCACGTACAGTATTTAGCTGCTTGCTAGGTATAGTCTTACCCATTCTTCATATATATATATACACATAGAAGAAACATATGCAAGAAATGAGATAAAACATATATGTAAACTAATGAATTAATTACAAAAATATAATATTTGAATTTACAAAAGCATCAATCCCACATGAAAATATTAAAAACCTATGTATTATACCCTTAATACCATAAAATCAAATATATACGATCTCATAACCACCCTGCACAATCTCATAAAGATCTTAATGTAGCACTCACCCCCGCAGGAGCCACTGGAATTAACGGGCACTTCTGTCGTTACTTCAGTGATGAACCATATATATATTAGATCCACAGCACACCAGTACACCTTGTGAGAAGTTTTATAACAGTTTCAATAAGACGGGTAAAACTCTGCAAATAGACTGCAAATTAACTTGAAGAATAGCAGTTAAATGCACTGAATACACAAACCATCTAGAATTTGCACAATAACATCAATAAACACAAGCTGTGATTTGTCATAATTGTGATGATTATGGCTTGCAGCTCATGAAAACCCCAAATCCACAATCTCAGAAAATTAGAATATTACATGCAATCAGTAAAACAAGGATTGTACATAGAACAATATCGGACCTCTGAAAAGTATATAAGCATGCATATATACTCAGTACTTGGTTTGGGCCCCTTTTGCAGCAATTGCAAAATTGGGCCCCTTTTGCAGCGTGGCATGGAAGTTATCAGCCCGTGGCACTGCTGAGGTGTTATGGAAGACCAGGATGCTTCAATAGCGGCCTTCAGCTCTTCTGCATTGTTCGGTCTCATGTCTCTCATCTTTCTCTTGGCAATGCCCCATAGATTCTCTCTCTGTGGGGTTCAGGTCAGGCGAGTTTGCTGGCTATTCAAGCACAGTAATCCCATGGTCATTGAACCAGGTTTTGGTGATTTTGGCAGTGTGGGTAAGTGCCAAGTCCTGCTGGAAAATGAAGTCAGCATCCCCATAAAGCTCATCTGCGGAAGGAAGCATGAAGTGCTCCAAAATCTCCAGGTAGACGACTGCGTTGACCCTGAACTTAATGAAGCACAGTGGACCAACACCAGCAGATGACATGGCTCCCCAAATCAACACAGACTGTGGAAACTTCACACTGGACTTTAAGCATCTTGCAGTGTGTGCCTCCTCTCCATTCTTCCTCCATACTCTGGGTCCTTGATTTCCAAATGAGATGCAAAAGTTGCTCTCATCAGAAAAGAGGACTTTGGACCACTGAGCAACAGACCAGGTCTGCTTTTCTTTAGCCCAGGTAAGACGCTTCTGACATTGTTTGTTGTTCAGGAGCGGCTTGACAAGAGGAATACGACATTTGAAGCCCATGTCCAGGATCCGTCTGTGTGTGGTGGCTCTTGATGCACTGACTCCAGCCACAGTCCACTCCTTGTGAAAGTCCCCAACACTTTTGAATGGCCTTTTCCTGACAATCCTCTCCAGGCTGCGGTAATCCCTGCTGCTTGTGCACCTTTTTCTTCCACACTTTTCCCTTCCACAAAACTTTCTATTAATGTATTAAAACAATAGTGCAGCGCTACCTTGCGAATCAATTTCCCTGATGAAGCCACGTGACCGGTGGCGTAACGCATAGGGGAGGGGCTCTGACATCATCACGCTAAGTCGGCTTGTCACGGCGAGTACGAGATTTGTGCTGAGCACACACAAAGTTTGATAAGGCGCATTTCATTTGTTAAATATGTGAGTGGGATTACTGGCTATATAAATAAAGGTTTTTAAAGGATAAGGCACTATTTTTTGCTTTTCTTTTGGTATCATGTATGTGGAGACCTGGAGGGGATACAAGGAGGAATAGACCCCTGGAGGTGAGAAGGGGAAATCCATCCATCCTTATACCACCATAAGAAACTAGACACTGGAGAGACATCAGGTGGATAATTAGTAAATTGCAGTGTGGAACCATCTAGGAAGGAGTTCAGGAGCAGCAGTATTTGCATCTGTCCCCGTAGGACAAACAGCTATTTCAGCCTATATTAAGTAGGCATATAAGGAGGTAAGCGCATAATAGAGGAACAATTATCCTGAAGCCGTCCAATGTGTTGGAACAAATCCATATATTAATATTGGAGAACTATTCATTTAAATATCTTTTTGGACACTTGTTGATGGGTTATATTGTTTTCGTTTTATTGGATTGGATAATTATATTGTTTTGGTCATTAATATACTTGCATATA